ATGTTTATGTGACAGGTAAATAATTTCCTCATTATTAGATTAGATTACTTTACTAAACCGCGCTATACCAGTAAATACTGGTATGACTCCCTCTAGTGGCTATATTTATTTTTTAAATCAGTTGGTTGGTTTAAATAAGAACTGATGAATGATTCAGTTCATGGAGTGTTTTTCAGTGCATGTGTCTTTCTGCTAGGTCTTCCTCTAGACATAACTCCTGATGAGTTTGTGGAGATCATGTCCAAATGTGGAATTATCATGCGTGATCCTGTCACAGAAGAATATAAAATCAAACTCTACAAGGACAAGGATGGGAACCAAAAAGGAGATGGACTTTGCTGCTACTTGAAGGTTGGTTGTTATAACACTATGGTCATGTACATGCAAATATATTCTATATATATTTCAAATAAAACGCATACATGCAATAGCATGCAGTTATTTTAGTATGATTCATAGTATTTAACTATTAATATTTTGAATTGGCCTTTATTTTTATTATTTCATTGTTTTATTTATACATTTTAGTTAAAGCAATTCTGTTATATGCTTTTGTAATTTTTATTATTTTTTTACTATTTTGATTTGGCTTTAATTATATATTTTTTATGTATTTTTATTTGTAGCTGTAATAATTTGAGCACTTCATCTTCAACCTATATTACTATAGTTAGATGTTAGATCCAGTTTTTCATCTAATGTTTATATTTAATTTGATTTCAGCTTGATTTCAATGAACACTATTTTGAATAGTTTTAGTTTTAAAACTGTTTAACATGCTTTACATGTGTATTTATTAGTGCTGGGCAATGATTAAAAAATTTACGCATGGTTTCTTGTGATTGTTATGCGCAAAATTGAATAATGAATTCTAAAGTACTTAAAATAACTTAAAATAAAATAAATAAATACATATATATATATATATATATATATATAACTGAATAATAAAATACTTAATATAACGTATTTTAAAAAATTGTCGCCGTTAATTAATAAATCCGTTAACACGATAACACGTTAACTTGCCCAGCTATAGTATTTATATAATTTGTAGACCAACATTTTAATTTGATTATTCCCTGCAGAAAGAGTCTGTGGCTCTTGCCGAGCGGCTCTTGGATGACTCAGAGATTCGGGGCTACCGATTGCACGTGGAGGCAGCGAGGTTCGAGCTCAAAGGACAATATGACGCCAACAAGAAGAAGAAAAAGAACAAAGAGTACCGCAAAAAGCTCCAGATGCAACAAAAGTAAAGTATAAACCTTCCTTTTCTAGCTCAATCCTGTGGCTCTATGTAGTCGATTCTGACACACAGTGCAACAATGCTCTGCTTAATCAGCATAATATTTTTTATGTGGCTGTAGACATGACTGACACTTCTGTCATTTGATTATCAGGCAGCTCGACTGGAGGCCGGAGAAGGCCATAGACGCTCGTAAAAGGCATGAAAAAGTTCTCATCATTCAAAACATGTTTCATCCCAGTGACTTTGAGGTAAGAGTCAATCTCAGAACATACCGACACACCCAGAAGAAACACTTGAACACATCGTAGATGTTACTGAATAGAACATTTTGTTGGCAACACTTTACATTGAGTGACATGAAAAGTACCACCTGTTTTCTTACAGCATTTGTAAAATGTCTTTTGCTGCTGCTGAAACCAGATCTACAGTGTTTTCTTTTTACAGCTCAGAATATGTTTAGCCTTGCACTGGTGTTCAAGATGTGTAAAGATAATTACAGAAAAACATTCGGCTTCGATTAGTAACAGTTTAGAGCTACGGGATTGTTTAGTTTGTCTGTACCGGTGATAAACGTCTCTGCGTCAGAGCTCAAGGCAGGTCTGTCTGCATTCCTGAAGTAGGTGCAGCTTAAAGGCTCAGAAAAGAGCAGGAATGAAGGTGTGGATCCAAAAAATATAGGATCCTCATGCTTTCTACATTAATAGTTTAATAAATGAGACTGATACTAAGATTGAACTAAAACTATGTTTGTGATTCTATAGGCCTCAATTATGGCTAATTTAACTAGCTACCATTCAAAAGTTTGGGATCAGCAAGATTTCTTTTAAAGAAATGGATACATTTATTTAGCGATTAAACTGATTAAAAGTCTCAGTAAATACTTTTACATTGTTACAAATGATTTGTGTTTCAAATTAATTTGATTTCTGTAATGATGCAGAAAATTCCACTTTGTCATCAAAGGAATAAATTGCATTTTAAATTAATTAAAAGTTATTATAAATTGTATTTCACTACTATTGATTTACTGTATTTTGTTAAATAAATGCAGCTTTAGTGAGCAAGAGACTTCCTTCAAAAACATTAAAAATCTTACCAACCCCAAACTTTTGAGCACTTGTGTATACAGTACTACCCATTAGACACTCCTAATCACTTTTTAATTTTACTATTTTCATATTTTTAAATAATAGCAAACATTAAGTAGCACTAAGAGGAGTAATGGGAATTGACTGCAAATGTTAAACAAATCAAAGCCATGTTATATTGTACTAGATTTCAGATTTCCATTTTAAACTTCAACAAACATCATGAAGTGCATCCCGGGATGCTTTTTAAACATTTGAAAAGGATTCACATGTATTTTAGGAACTTGTTTGGCTGCTTTTCCTTTATTATTCAGTCCAACCTCATCCAACCTTCAAGATTTCCAATTACCAGATTACCAATACGAAGCCCATTTCAGTCTTTTAAGCCTTTAGAACAAACGTATAAAAGATAATGAAGAATATAAATGTAATCAAATGTGTCCAAACATTTAACTAAAAATGTGTTGAAGAGCTGCACCATATGTGTCTTACAGGAGGATCCTTTGGTTCTGAATGAGTACAGAGATGATCTGCGGACAGAATGTGAGAAATTCGGGATAGTGAAGAAGGTCATTATCTTTGATGTAAGTCCTTTTTTTTACTTCTGCCCACATTTATTATGAAAACATTGACATTTTTATTTTACTATTTCTTATGCTCAACCCTTTGCTTTCTTCCTTTGGAAACAGAGGCACCCTGATGGAGTGGCATCTGTGGCTTTTAAGGAACCTGACGAGGCGGACTTGTGTCAGGTGGCTCTAAATGGACGCTGGTTTGGAGGGAGGAAACTATCAGCACAGCCATGGGACGGTGTAACTGACTACCAGGTAAAATACTCAGCCTGTTTTAAAGGGATAGTTCACTTTGAAATTAATTTTTGATATGTTTTAGCTTACCTCAAGGGCATCCAAGATGTAGGTGTCTTTGTTTCCGCAGTATTTTCAATTTTGATATTTTTAAGTCAAACTGTTCTTGTCTGTCAGTCATATAATGGAGGTATATGGGGTCCACCTCAAAGAGCATGCACAGAGAAGTCCAAATTAAACATGATTTAATGACTCGTAAATGTAAGCACACATTGATGGCCTAAGACGTGAAACGAGCCCTTTGTGTGAGTAACCGAACAGTATTTATATAGTTTTAACCTCTTGTAATCACAGTCACATCATAACTTGAACTATGCCTTTAAGTTATGAAGAATTGTAAATTGCTACAGAGTTTATGTCCTCGATCTGATTTTTTTCTGAATGAATCAGGATATTTAAAGAGGAAAAAGTGAGGGGAGGGACATTAGTTTATCCATTAGGAATTTGCTGAATCACGAGAAGTGGGTGTTGCGTACAAACCGAGTGTGGGTTTGCTAAAACAGTCTCTAAATAGCTATTTGGCTGTAACATCACTCAACAGTCTGCACGGCATACTTGATGTCATCAGAAAAGGAAAGTTATTACATGGACTAAACCTACACAATCATATTTAATTTTGTTAACACATACACAATTAGACCAGAGATGTATATTAAGAAAGTTAAAAGACTTTCAGGTTTCAGGATCAGTATAGTTAAAACAAAACCATTAAAAAAATGAAAATACATGTATTTAAGTGTCATTTAGGTTAAGTGCATGCACTAAAATGACTAAAACTGAAATAAAAGTTTTTAAAAACTATACAGACAAAATAAAAAATACAAAAATAAACAACAAAATACTAAAACTTTCTAATTAAAATTAGTTTAAAATATTAATGAACTGAAACTACAACCGTTTCTAGAAATAGAAAATGTTAAATGAAATAAAATTAAACTTTTTTTTCAGCTAGTTGCCAAGGCATTGTTTTTAATTGTCATTTAATGACAATATTAATTTTAATGTATGTACTAAAATTACCAAAACTAAAATTCATGAAAACAAACACACAAGAAAAACTGAAAACTTGAACCATAAATTGTTACTTGAGATAAAATAAATGTAAATATAATTATTTAAAAAAATGCAAACTTAAATGTTCAAATCGGGTCTATTTTACTTCTGCTTTTTTGCCTCACTTTTTGGCTCTGGTCACACAGGTTGAGGAAACCTCACGAGAACGAGAAGAGAGACTGAAAACCTGGGCCTCTTTCCTGGGTGACGGATCTAAAGCGGACCCTTCAAAAGCAGCAGAACAACAGAATCCCAGCACACAAGAAGCAGCAGAACCGACCCGACAGGAGGAGGGTACAAACGAAAGCACCGCAAAACCACAGGAGGGGAAAGATGAGGAGGAGGAGGACAAGGAGGAAGGAGGAATGCAGTCGACCGATAGCAGTTTAGCAGGAAGTGATGAGGAAGATGCGTAGATGTGGAGAGAAAACAGAACTTGTTTAATGTCTCTTGCTCAAACATCCGAACACCAATATACAGTGTTCCCATGACAAGCCAGTGCATTTCACCATTTCAAAATTTGGGGACAATGATGGAAATTTAACTGCAAATAATCATTTGTGATTATCCCTTCCCTTTATGCTAATAGTTTTATAGTAAAAACACATTTTGTGACCTCTTCATTGTTTCTTGCTTTCATAAAAAAGACGTTTTTATAAAGTTGGTCACAGAAAATATTTTTGGTTTATATATGGGAACAAAAAAAAAAAAACAGCCCAGTGTAATTCCGTGTAAGCATAATGACAGCTGTGATGTTATCTGTTTGAGATGACCTTGTTCAACTCGCTCGGGCACATTTCTCAGGGCTCAACCTCCCGCACAAAGTATCACATTCGTTTTGTGTTAGTGGTATCGGTGCCTGGATGTGCGCTGGATTCAGTTCGGTAAGCAGCGTGTTAAATGTTTCGGGGATTTGATTTTCTTTTGTGAATGCAGTTGAAGTCCCGTTTCAGTTTGAGGAAGGAGTGCTTTAGAGGATAAATAGAAACTACCCTTTTAGAACTGTGGGTTTCATCTTTGTCTTTAAATCTTTTGCTGTTCTCTGTTTATAATTAGTCTATATAAGAGATTATGCATATGAAATAAGTCATTGCGTTTTTTTTTTTCCCTCGACTATTTTGTTGCACTGTCCAGTTTTCTATCGAATAAGTAATGTTTAAATATTAATAAACTGTGCTTGGCCATCTCAAGCTACATTCATACATTTTAATACACACGACTTTTCAAAAGTTTGGGGTTGGTAGATTATCATACATTTTTTATATTGTTCATAGAAGGAAACTCATAGAAAACAATTTCATATGTAATAGTACAATTTAAAATAACTTTTTGAAATGAAATTTATTCTGGCAAAGCTGTATTTTTAGCATCATTACGCCAGTCTTCAGTGTCACATGATCCTTCAGAATTCATTCTAATATGCTGATTATTGTTATCAATGTTGAAATCAGTCATGCGATCATGGTTTTATTTTTTGTGCAAAACCGTAATTTATTGTTTTTCAGGATTTTTTGATGAATAGAAAGTTCAAAAGAACAGCATTTGTATAAAATAGAAATCTTTGGTAACATTGTAATCACGTTTGATGATTTAAAAAAAAAGTCTTACAGACCCCAAACTTTAAAACTGGAATATTGGATCAAAGTCATGCCTTTAGAAAGGTACCAGGGTCGACAGATTTACAGTTGCATTTAACAGTACAAGCTTTGTGCTCAAGGTAGAGAAGAAAAGATAAATACTGATATTTACTTGCATTAATATCCACTTAATTTTCCTGTACAAAATCACTGCAACAGAATTGATGTCATAAGATTTTAACTGGAGAGTTTATTTGTGAAAAAACAGTGTTATTACAGTGTTTACCATTGTATTTATTTTAATGTATGGGGCAGTAAATTGCTTTAAATGGGGGAAATATAATAGGGTGGATGCATTTCAATCTTTTTATGATGAATAAATTAGAGAGAATAAATAAAAAAAATAGATTTATTTCAATGTTAAGCACTCTTTACACACATGTAAATGGGGGACACAAATGAAACCCATTTTGTAAAATAATAAATATTGTATCCCTAAGTCAGGATGATGGAGGACAGACTGTCAGAGCAGTCAGAGCAGTGTAAAGATTCTCCTCAGCTGTTTACATACTATCAAGGTGACATCAACACTGCCGTGGATGAGCACTTCTTCCGTGCCCTGAACAAAGCCACCATACCAAAAGACCTCAGCATTAAAGCCAAGGAAAGCAATAGGACTCCCAAATCAGGTGTGTTAATGCCAGAAAATCTATCTATCTATCTATCTATCTATCTATCTATCTAGATCATCTAAATATATGCTTTTCTTATCCCAGATGCCCCCCTATCATCATCCTCATCATCACCATGGGCTTTTTCTGGTCTAACATGGTCTAAGTCCACACACTCTTCTGGTTCCTCAAAGTTGACCCAATTGACATCCTTGGAAGCCACACCTCCATCCCAGGGAGTTATCGTGAATCCCTCAGGACTCTCATCCTCCCTCTGGCCCTGTCCACCCAGACAGAGCACAGGCTTTGAACTGCCTCAAATACTCTACCAACCGCCCATGGCTGCTGAGGGCAGCGCCAGCTCTTACCTCAATATGTTACAAATGGATCGCCCAACAGGAGGCATCATGATCTCGCCCTTCTCAAAATCAGAGACCAGACCAGAGTGGAATTCTGGGACGGCCTTTAAAGATGTGTCTGGAAGCAGGATCGGCCTAGATTCAGGTACTACAACATATTGCTAACTGTTCGCTCACAGATGCATCTAATGCAACGGTATACATTTTTAAGTAAGGGAAAAATTAACAGTGCCGTTCTTGGTCACAAAATAAACTAAGATAGGTGATTAGATCAGCCTTTATAACCCTGAAGGGGTTTGTTTTGTGATAATGCGATGATAAATGTATATTATCAGTATTAAATGGCTACTCACCAACAATTAATAAATAGTCCTGCCTACATAGGCAGGAAATATTGATTTCTTTTTTAATGGATTTTTGCAGTATTATAAATTATTTATCTGTGCACTTCATATTTTTTTAAAGGGATACTCCACTTTTTTTGGAAAAAAACTCCCCCAGAGTTAAACAGTTGAGTTTTATCATTTTTGAATCCATTCAGCCGATTTTGTGATATTTAGAAGAATATCAGTAACAAGATTTCCAAAAAAAAAAGTGGAGTATCCCTTTAAATCCATGTGATCTCATGGTGCAATTACTCGTCCCTGTGAAAAAATAAACAGTAAAGTAAAGTAAAGATCCCTGCTCACACAGATCTGTGAAAGCGACTAAAAACACTACAAGACAATATACTGAACACCTATTCATAGACAGTAAAAGAAATGGACACAGCGACCCCATTGATTTCAACGGAGAAGACTGAATCCCGATTATTGCACTTCCTGCGCAGAATGAGCAAAATGAGCTCAAAATGAGCTTGACGAGCGTGGGAAAGAAGTCAGTGTCCCATAAGAATTATTTTGAAACTGATATATATTTACAGTTGCTTTAAATGTGATTTTCACTTCTGAAGCTCTGAGTAGCTTCTTTGAATAAGTAATTAGGCTACTTATTATAATTTCATGACTGTTAAAAAAGTATGTTCTATATATTACACATACTGTGAACTGTATTATGTAGGCCAGTGATTGGCGCTGTCACTTTTTAAAGAAACACTACTGGCAGCTATTGTAGGGATTTATGTATATTTGGATGCAGCTTAACATGCAGTGCATCTGTTTATGTGGAGAGATTATTTGTATTACTTTGTGTTTTTCAGGTGTGCCTGCCTCAGAAATCAATAAGGATTTGTACTGGTATTGAAGAAGAGATTTCTGGCTTTACAGTATGATGAAAATACATTTTCAGCATAAGACTGCCTATGTTTACATTATTACGTAAGCCTAAAAATGCTTTTGGACATTCGGTAAAGTGACTCAAACCATTGTGGTGTCAGACATTCCTCAGAGATTAATGGCTGTTAATTGCTTCTTTTCTTCTTTTAGCCATGAGCATGTGAATATCTTATAATAGGACATAAGTGAGAGAACCTGAGTGGAAATATTTCACTTCTCTTAGTTGGATGAATGAGGAAGTAAAGTCTATTTATATGATTTGTAATACAATCATAGTTTTAGCAAACTTTCTTTTTGTAATATATGCTGTTTTGAAAGTTCATATTTTTACAGTAAGCCATAAACTGTTGTCATTTGACAAAAAATATATATATTTAATACAGTATCTAAATACTTTTTCTTATCTAATATTCTTTTCTCTCTGAAAAATTCCTCATACTTTGGGGAACCCTTCAAAACTTCATGTACAATTGTTTCGACTCTTTAGAGCAGGTTACACAGAAGACACAGAAGGCAACGCAGATGTGCAATGCTTAAAGTGACATGAGCAAAAATAAATGTCCTCTAAATTGTTCAGATGTTGTTGAATTTCATCTTTACAAACCTGTTTTCTTAAAACCCGTTTCAGACTTTTTTCCTCAGGCAATAATGTATTTCCCTGTCACAGTCTTTTGATATATGAGTATGACAAAACAGCTAAAGGCTTTTTTGATGAATTTCCTCAATTATTTCCAAGAATTTAGAAAGATTAGACATATGACCCTTTGTTTAATTAATCCCACATAAATATGGTTCTTTTGTACCTACGTTACACATTTACATACTTTTTAAGCAAGACGTTTGATTTTTTGCGAGTCAGAATGACCTGTCAGAATTATGAATGACATTTTTTGACATTCTGTTGTTTATTAGTATATTAGACTTGTACATTAACTTTATATATACTTTTTTTATAAGCAATATTTTGTAACCAAGACTTTAAGATGTGACTATACATAAATATAAAATAAAAAAATCATTAAGGTATATTCACTTCTGTAACATTTAACATGGTTTGAGAATGAGAATCGTAATGAGAACTGAAGGCTTTTTAACTCTCTTGGGTTCAATCAGTGGTTTATAACCTTAACATTGGATTTTTTATTTATTTTTTACAGTGACTAGTACACTGTTATTGCTTTGTGTGCTTTTCTCTTTCCCATCATCCTCTCACATCCCCAGAGTGTGTTAATGAATGAGAAAATACAATTTGAGATGTTCTCAAAGCATTTACCCTAGTTCAATAAAGATTTAAACAAACACTATTAATGATGATTTTACTCTTAGCATGCTATGAAGCTCATTTGTAACCCAATTTATTAACAGAATGTGACGGAAAGAAACAGGATTCAATCTGCAGGCCAGAATGTAAATTTAAAGGGATACTCCACCCAAAAATGAAAATTCTGCCATCATTTACTCACCCTCAAGTTGTTGTAAACCTGTATGGGTTTCTTTCTTCAGCTGAAAACAAAGGAAGATGTTCAAGAACGATTGGAATCAAAAAGTTGTTTGGCACCATTGACTTCATAGTAGAAAAAAATAAATACTTTGGAAGTCAATGGTGCCAATCGTTAGAAAGAAACCCATACAGGTTTGCAACAACTTGAGGGTGAGTAAATGATGACAGAATTTTCATTTTTGGGTGAAGTATCCCTTTAAGCAATGGAAATTAGATTTAGAACGTAAATTAGTTTCATTTTGACTGAACAGTTTGGAAAGCAGTCCTCATCTCACAGCAAAAATGGGTACATTATAGTGGACCAGATGGTGGAACTTTTCATTTCGGCCTGCTCACTATTCGATTATTGATGCCTTGGCACATTTTAAGTTCTCTTCCATCTGCCCTAATTTCCCTGCTCTCTTATGAAGTAAATAAATCAGGCTGATGCCTAACCGAGAGGACAACAGGGGCACATTAAATCTAAATCTGTCATGTAACATTCAACACATTTGAGAAACAACTGAGAAAAACTGCAGACTAAACGTTGTTGCAGTTTACTGAATTGCAGACTGACTGTTAAACTGTTTCATTCAGGTAATTACCAGTGCATAGTTTTTCCTCTAATAAATGGACTATGAAACTAAATATCCCAATGACAATGTCTGAAACCTTTAGAGGTGTGAGACATTCTCATGTCAGTCCTTATTAATAGTTCCTTTTTAGACAGATATCAAAATACCCTAGACCATGAATGGGTATTGTGGCAAGCCATATTTACCTTTATTTCTTTAAACTAAGAATATTTAAAATAATTAATAAAATGCAATAGAAAATAGTGTATTTTTCAGTTTCACCAAATTAAACAAATCAAAATCTTCCAAAAGTTACTATCTTACCAGTTGGCTATCTAATAATAGCCTATTGAACACTGCAGGTAGGCTATTTATGACACTAATATATATCCAATCTGTTACTAGTCACATTTCTTATCTCACTAATTACATCAGCCTTTTTCCTCGTTAGCCTATGTGTAATGATTCAATGGCTGCTTATAGTTCAACTGCAAATCTTACTGTGTTTTAGGGTTAATGGAAATTTCTGTAAAATTATGGGATAATGATGTCCATGCAGAAAATTAGCCTACCAGTTAGGCTACATTTTCCATTTATTCTTTTACAGTATAGAATTTAATTGTGAAATTCAACAATAAAAGGCCTGGTCACTACTGGATTTCTTACCAATAATTAAAAATATACTACTGACAATAAAAATATGTATTCGTTTTAAGGAATAAATGGCTTGCCATAGCCTACTTTGAGATCCGCGCGCTTGAGTGGCGTTTATGCTGATATATAATAGATTAAAGACGGGAGGGTCGCGTTCTTCTTCTCCTGAGGAGGGGGGCACTAGAGGGGGAGATAATGAACGGAATCTGTGGGTCTACGGGGTACAACCTAAGAGTGCAACTTACTTTCCCATTCTTAAACTCCTTCATTCCAGCATACAGGTGTGCTCCTCTATTTAATCTATGGTTACCGTCCGCTATTTTTTTATTGTTTTATTGCTTAAACAAAACATTACATGTATGTTCTTCAGAGAGTCCTCAGAGAACGGCAGCCAGCTGGACACACCGACTCCAGATCAGCCCGGATTCGGCCGCACGGGACACACTGTAGTGGCAGTGTGTTTGGGAATAATCTTCGTTTTCGGTTTCCTAAATAACTTTCTTGTTCTTTTGGTCTTTGCCCGTTTCCATGTCCTGAGGACTCCTATAAATTTGATACTGCTGAACATCTGTGTGAGCGACATGCTTGTTTGTCTCTTTGGCACACCGTTAAGTTTCGCCGCGTCGGTTTACGGCCGGTGGCTGACGGGAGTTCCTGGTTGCAGGTGGTATGGTTTTGCCAATGCAATGTTCGGTAAGACTGAGTTTTAATAAACTAATATAAGATTTTAGCCTAGTGATGATAAAAAAATCGTTATGATTAGGCTATCCTATCTGTAACTGCACGTTATCATATTGAAAACATGCAACGTGTCGGTTTATTTCAGCAGCTAGAATGCGGTTGAATAGTAACTTAGGCTAAGTCAGATGGGTTAATTACAAATAATTGGTTAATTGGAGTTTCCATCATTGATTGTTGTTATTATCCTGTTTATGTGAAGTTGTTTTAAAACCGTATACGTTACGGTTTTAAAGGAATGGGCCTTCACCCAAAAATGTAAAATTCTGTCATCATACTCACCTAGCATTGTTCAAAACTTTATAGACCATTTTGCAAGATGTAAACAACACTGGTCCAGAAGCACTTCCTGTTTCAGTTTTTTAACACTAACGTACATAAAAGCTGGGATAAAATACAACCAACAGAACATATAAAACTTAATCAAAAAGTTAAACAAACATCTTTAAGATGTTTTCTTTACATGTGAAATAAAGAAAACAGTTACAAACTGAAACAGGAAGTGTTTCTGGACCAGTGTTGTTTACATCTTGCAAAATCTTCAGCTGAACACAAAAGAAACATTATGGAAGTCAAAGGTGCACAGCTGTTTGGTTACCCATATTCTTCTAAATATTTTATTTTATTAAACATCTAGTTGATTATCATATAGGCCTAATTGATTTGGCTCTTTATCCAACATCAACAGGTATTGTTTCACTGGTATCACTCGCTGTACTGTCATACGAGCGTTACAGCACCATCCTCTGCTGCACAAAAGTGGATGTGTCTGACTATAGGAAGGCCTGGCTCTTCATCACAGGCTGCTGGCTGTACTCTCTCGCGTGGACATCGCCGCCACTCTTCGGCTGGAGCAGTTACGGTCCTGAGGGTCCCGGCACCATCTGTTCAGTCCAGTGGAACCATCGCTCCCCAGAAACGACTTCTTACGTCATCTGCCTCTTTGTCTTTTGCCTGCTCCTGCCTCTTCTTCTCATGGTCTACTGCTACGGGAAGATCCTCATTGCTATTCATGGGGTGAGTGAAGTGTGAAAGAGGAAAAGGTTGAAAGAGAGAGAGTGGGAGTGGAAGCAGTGATTTTGATAAAGAGCTCTCTTCGAGTAGGACTTATCGATCTTTCTAGCCAAATGTTTGTTTGCCATGAATTAAGCATTTTTCATCCGGAACCAAAGTCCTTTTCACAGGGTTAGTTCATCCAAAAATAAAACATTTGTGTCATCTTGACTTACCCTCATGTCATTCCAAACCCACAAGACTTTTGAAATGAAACCTGAGAAGTTTCTGTCCCACCAATGAAAGTCTACATAACCAAAACCTAAAAGATCCCAAAAGGCCATCATAAAATAAACCCATTTAAATTGAACGGTTTAATCAAAGTCTTTTGAGGAGATATGATTGCTTTATATGATGAACAGATTTAATTTAGGCTTTTATTCAAATATAAACACACTTATCGCATGTGTCATCACATCATATGTGCATCACATATTGTAAACAGGAGCTTATGCCTGTGTCATGCGTTGTTTGTGTCCATCATTATTTAGAGGTAAATAAAGCCTAAATAAAATCTGTTCATCATATAGTTATCATATCTTCACAACACTTGGATTAAACCACTTGATTCATAAAGATTCATTTTGCGACTCCTTTATGATTTTTTTTTTGACTCTTCTAAGTTTTGGTTACCTGGTCTTTCAATGGTGGGACAGAAACCTCTCTTAATTTGTGTTTCGAGGATTAACCAAAGGTTTATGTGCTTGGAATGACATGAGGGTTAAATTATGCCAGAATATGCCAGGATTTTTGGGTGAACTATCCCTTGAAATGGGTGTGCACAGCTGGATCAGATTTGAGCATTTTAGCAAATTCTTGTATGCCTTAACAAATGCAAAAAAAAAAAATTGTAAATCAAAACATGTAAAAAATAAAATGCTTTAAATTCTGTCATATACACCATGTGGCGTTTCAAACCAGACACAAATGTACAGCTTTATGCTGTTGTTCTTGAAAAGCAAACCTCAAAGCTTGTGTCCTCACCCCACAGGTTGCTAAGATCAATCAGACAGCTGCGCAGAGGAGGGAAACACATGTGCTGGTGATGGTGGTTTCCATGGTGTCCTGTTACCTGCTCTGTTGGATGCCGTATGGGGTCATGGCATTGCTTGGCACATTCAGCGTTGGCATGGTCAGCCCCACAGCCAGCGTTGTGTCGTCCATACTAGCAAAGAGCAGCACTGTTTTGAATCCCATCATCTACGTTCTGTTCAATAATCAGGTATGTGCTTCTTATAGGTGTATTTGTTTCCTCATTATCCTTATAGACTCTTATTACTATTAATTCGGAATTCATTGCCAGTTCTACAGGTGCTTTATGGCTTTACTAAGATGTGGTCCAGAGCCTCCAGCCCATCTCACCCTTCACACAGAAGAAGGTGGTGCTCCTCAACAGGACTGCATCCCTATGGGGTCATATGGTGTTACTTCTCCACCTGATAGCCCAGACAAGTTAAGGAAACCCCACAATGACCCAAAGGGCTTCACTACAGAGAGGTAATGAGACTTTGGTTCCTGTGGTACACTGTTCTCCCTAAAACTGCTGGAAATGAAAACACTATCCATGCAAAACCATATTAAGAGACAGGAAATACAATTTGTGTGTGTTTTTACTGCCATATATATAATGTGTGTTTTATAAGAAATATAGAAATAAGTTTTGTTTTTGTGCAACGCTGATATTATTTAATTTGTTTGAATTTCTTGTAAATGTTGCATGAAAGAAGTGCCACCAGGTGTCAGTATTTGTTCAAACGTGAAACAATGTTAACTTGTACTTGGCAGCATCTAAAGGTCATGTCTATGCTTTGCAAAGGTATGAAAAAATAGCAAAAAGTTTTAGGATATTTACTTCATACTATCTGAATCTTGTTTGAGTATATTGTTTTTGTCAAAAGTCAGTCAACCTAAGTTACCTATTTATTACAGGGATTGTGAATATATTCCAAGCAGTACCCATAATGTTACACCAGAGAGTATTTTAACTTGGCAAATTACTTTAATTAATCTAAAGGTCTGAATCTTTAATTTGTCGTTCCATTGCTTTCAGTGATCACATATCAACTTCTCAATGTTTTTAAAGGGGTCGTACTTAGTTTTCCCGAAAAACAAACAAACAAACAAAAAAATGATAAAATGGTGGATAACATCGTATCTATAATGCATAAAAAAGTACAAAAAACATACCACTCTGAAACGTACTGTGAAATCTGTGCTTGCGAAGTCTGTGCATTTTGTATGATCCTCTTGTTAATTAACATTGTCAGGGTCTGAATGGGGCTTGAATTGAATTTGAATTTTAACTTGAATTTGAAATTGACGCTAAATACTTCATATTTACACTACACTAGTTATGGAGGGGCAGGTCATTTCCTGAATAATCTGTGCCAATCACGACGCATTGGGCCAGCTAACCAATCACAGCTCATTCCGTATTTCGAAAGGAGGGGCTTCATCGAAACCTGGGGAGAGAGGTGCTGTAATAATGTAAAAAATGAGTTTTTTGAACAATCAAGCATGTTCTAGTACACCCTAACACAAACTCAATACTTTGTAAAAGGGCATAATAGGATCCCTTTAAATGTATATCTGCCCCATGAACTTTAACATTAACAAATGTGAGAAAATGTTGATGAAATATTTTTTAATGTTTTGGATTTTTTTTATACCAAACTAGTCAAAAATATTTATATTTTATTATTGAAAAAAAGGTTAAATCAGTCAAGCTAATTTATTGATAATGTGAATTTCTCAGCCTTGTGAACAATGATAATTGAGTCAGGTGTTCCTATCACATACTCATCCTGCCCTATGAAAGAGTTTGTTACCACTGAATTTTGTGTAATGTGGCATGACCTAAAGAGATTTCAGAAAACCACATAGGAAGAATTATACAGGCTCATTAGTCTGGAAAAGGTTAGAAGAGGATGTCTGAAGACTTGGGGCTTCATCAGTCGCAATTGAAGCAGATTAATCACAAATAGAAAAAATGTAGCACCAGTCATGCCTTAGCTGTCCTTTCAAAAATCAGTGTAAAGACATCATGTCAAAGGATTCTTTAAATGACAATGTAGCACGAGAGAGAAATGTATGAGTCTGCAGGCATTTGATTATATTTCTTCCAATTTTATAGCACATTGCCAGGATGTTTGTGATCTGAAACTTTAAAGAAAGTGGGTCATACAACTTGTCTGTTCCTAAACAAAGGAATAAATCACCATCAGAGTTGGTCCAAACAGAGAAAATTCCATATATTTGAATGGTCGGGTCAGAGTCCTGACCTCAATCTCATTTATATTCTGTGGCATGATTTCTATCCAAGGCCATTTGAGGCATCCCGAGATATCCCAAAATATTTATGATACAGCAGCTTGTGCAGAGGAAAGGACCAAAATACCTCATGTGCAAGTCACCAATAGGACGAATTTGATTGCAATTGTAGTGCCAAAATGAACTAAATATAAGTAATACTCACATTAAACTTTTTTGTGTCAAATTACAGAATTTAATTAAATATTGACTTAGATGGAAGCTATTAGACCACTCGCTGAGAGCCTGCTGACAGTAATCGAGACTATTTTAAAAGGTTCAGACTTTTTTTGAACTGCTCGTCAGGATAGATGGTGCAGGTTCTATGATTAGCCTTGGCTGATTAAGTTCACAGGATATATGTGAGGAAGTCTTTCATTAATAGTGCTCCTGGTTCTTATCACAGAATGACTGGCTCTGAAATTGGCTTGTACCTGACAGATATAGAACTGCATATCACATTCTCTAATTAGCCAGCCATCCAGTTGAGAAAAGGTCTTCAGCTCTGAAAATGGCAAGTTGATCTGAAAAACCCATCTGTGCTGACAAGGTTTGGTGAACTTAATTGTGTTGTTGTTGTTGTTATTATTATTGACTTCATTTTATTATTGGTCAAACTTATTAACGTTAAATCTGAGGGGCTACTTCAAGGAAATACATTAGATCAAAGAGGTTCAGCTGACCAAGAATTGCTGACAAATTATTCAATTCTGTGTGGGTCTCAGTTTTCAGTGACAGGTACATGCCTAGTGGCTGATCTGTCTACAATTCCACAAACCTGGATGACCTTTTGAATGTATATAAGCAGGAGGCTTTTTTAGAAAGGAAAATTTAAAAGATAAAAAGATAAGTTGTAGGGAGTATAAGAACACGTAAAAGAAGATCGAATGAGAAAAATGCGTCCTTGCGCCATAAAAGTCCAACTGTGGAGGGAATGAGGGGACTCTGGAGGATGATGCAGAGACCAGGGTGGTGATGATGGTGGGAGGAGCCAGGCTTTGACCCAAAGTGCAGCCTGGATGATGGCCCACAGCGGAGTCGAGGTAGGGTGGAGACTCGGCAGACGACTCCAGGCCGATGGAAGTAGATCCCTGGGCACAGACAAAGAGCCTGCGAGACCGTGTGCCGCGGTGACAAGAGTCCGAGGTGGAGCCAGAGTGCCAAAGGTCTAAGGTGGAGCTGGAAGGAAGGCTGAGCCAGATGGAGCTAAAGAGGTGGAGGGACAAAGCGTAGCTTAAGGTCTTTAAGTCTGGTTCAGACAGGGTGATATCTGACCAAGGGAGAGCCGGAGGGACGAGGGAGCCTTGTGAATCTGTAAGGACGATGGTCCCACGTGGTGCCGAAGCAGGGAGGAACCAAGGCAGAGCCGACCGGTCAACGGGTCAACGGGCATCAGTGGCTAGGGACAGACTCGGGGGATCCTCTTTACTAGGTGGAGCTGGAGACCGGAAGACCAGAGGCAATTCCAAGCAGAGGCGAGGCTGAGGAACTGACTGTTATTGGAAGAGGAGGTGAAAAATGGAGGCTGGGAGGGAACTCTGGAGACACAGGAGACTTTGAGCTGGACAGAACCAGCGGGACGGCAGATTCATGCAAACATCATCTTCAAAATAATATATTACAGAGGCCAGCTTCAGCTCACCTTCCCCCATTCCTTCGTACTCCACTAATACTCCCATAGTAGCACATGATGTTGCCGGCTCATGCACCTGGTCAGACATTTCATGAGGCTCACTCTGAGGCGATGGTTGGGTCAGTCTCTAGCCATGCCATACAGTGGGGTGAAGGTTGGCTGAACTCTGTTCCAGAGTGGTGACGTCCTCCTCTGGGCAGATGGTGAAAGCCGATCCATTATTCACCAGCACCCACTCCACAAAAGCGGCGAAACCCTCTCAAGGACCGTTCCTTGGGAGGCGTGCCTTGGAGCGTTAGGCGCGTCGAATCCAGAGAGCAGTCCTTCTCCTCCAGACATAGTAGTTGGACAGTAGGCTGGTCCATTTGTGAGAGGGAGAGGGAAAAACATTTCAGTGTGGCGTTCTCACACTGGCAGTTTAGTTCGGAACTGGGTACAGTTCGCAGGGCAAAAATTGCTTACGTGAAACTGTCATGCGGACCCGGATACTGAACCCCGAGACCTCCTGAAGGACTGTGGCATGATTCGCGTGAATGTGAAAACAACACGGACTCGGGTGCACGCTTTTTCACGAAGCAAACCTGTGCATGCGTTTTATCCGATTACGATGTATTTAGTTAAATAAAACACGTAAGGAAGGATATTGTTGATGATTTACCTTGGATACGAGCTAGTGTGAGCCTGCACTGTATTCGCACTTAGTGAGTGCAATCAGCAAATGGTGTATTTGCCGCCATAATTAAATCCATAATTTGAGTGATTATGTGCTCATATCCCCTGTATTCAACTCTGGACATCGTTATCCCGACACAAATCTAATGAACTTCATTGTCATTAATTATACAGGGCAAGGCAAAGGTTCACATGCATGATTACCAATAGACCTTAATTTGGTCTGTCATGTCAGATAATCTATGGCAGTATTTCAATCTCAGCACAGTGGTAAACACGGCTTCGGCAGGAGAATGATGCATGGACCTCTTATAATTACAAACCGCAACCCTGTGGTTTAATGAATAGGAGGTTCCGGTCTATATTTCTTTAAAATGAGTTGGCTTGTGGATTCTTCCATTTGTATTCATGCTCAACTGCATTCCCTCTGTTCCAATTTCGATAGAATGACATCATCAAATCAAATGGCATCATCAAGCTGTCATTTCTGCTCTAGAGATCAGGCTTATCCTTGAAATCAGACTGTTTTCTGATCGATCAGGTGGAATGAGTGCCGAGCTCATACACACATCAGCGCTCAAACCTTGAGCCATTGCACAGAGTCTGAAAAATCTATAAATCACTGCAAGTCTTATGGAGGTGTCCTTGGATACCCAGTATGACTGGGATTCTATTTATGGAAGATATGGTGATATTACACAAGCCTATGCAGTAAAAATGTTGTATGTGTGAATTATGCATGGATTGGTGTTTGGTTTGCTTTTATCACTACAGATGTTGTGTGGATTCACACTATTTGAAACCATAATCTCATTATTTTAAACCAGTTTGAGATTGTTGCATAAAATTTTTTACAAGTAGTGTTTCTAGCCTTTAATTAGTAGGAAACCTAAGTGTCCCCATATTTTGCACCTACTAACTCTCATTATTAGAGTATTAGTCGAGTAATAGTAGACTGGTAGGTGTTAGGATTAGATTAAGTTGACATGTTGCAAAGTTATAGTCAGTAGATTGTCTGTTGGAGTACCATCACAATAAAGAATTAGCAGATATTAAGCAGACAGTACACCAACACTCTAATGATCGTTAGTTGACATGTAGTTGCTTATAGTTAATAGAATGTTCAAAAGGGACCATCAAAATAAATTGTTACCATACATTTTCTTTACCAGCAGTACAAAATGTGTTGCTTGTACACAAGCTGCATGTGGAATAAAGAGCAGCTTTATTGCGTTGCATGACATGATTGCTAAAATATTATCTTGGAAAGTCATTATCAAGTCGGTATGCGATAATCACTATTGTCAGACATGCATGGGGCTCATGCATGACACAATTTTTAGTGACATATGCCTCTGAAAATCAGATATATTGCAATGTTTTCATTGCAATTCCAATTTAAGTGCATATTCCAATGTTTTTTTGTGCATAAGATGGCCATGCCACTTAATGCTATTACTGCTACTGAAAACGCCCCTGATTTTGACTGATTTTTTAAAAAGAAACGAGTTAAAAAAAAACGTTTGAATCAGACAGCGTGGCTATGTTCATTGTGGCGTGCCAGAAGTGCTCACATACACTTCTCTTCTCTGTTGACTTGTTTATCTGTGCGAGGGCAAGACAACAAGACATCATTCACTTGACATCACTGCAAAAGCAAACAACTATCCAATCAAATCCCAATGAACAAGTCTCGCTCTACATTTTTCTTCATTTGTGAAGCCGCTTCACAATATACATAACAATAAGGAAGAAAAGACTATCACAACTTCTATTTCATGTCTACTTTAAACACTGTATGGACCTAGATAGAGTATTCCCAACATATTAAATTGACCCAAAATAGTGTTGGCATATTTGCACTGATATTCCATGTAACTATATTTTGTACGCTTTTTTTCACCTTAGGGCTGTGCCTTAGTAAAAAATAATAATAAATTAAATGGCGTGGCTACATTGGGGTGTCCTCCATATGTGCATTGTATGTGTGCATATGTATATATCCCAAGATAAGAGTTTGAGACAGGAATCTGTACATTGCCAAGCTTTTAAAAGATGCATAAAGCAAACCCTCAAACAACTAGGTTTGATTTTTTTTGTTTTTTCGTTTTTACAGAGCTTACATGCATTTTTAACCTGCTCTCCCCATTTATAAGAGAGAAGCCCTAGCTTTCAGATTCTCCTTATGGCCTGACTCAAAGCTTTTATGACACAGAATAAAATATGACTATATTGAATCTAAAGTGTAGAAGCACCCATTCATCAGCAAAAAAGAATATATATATGGGTTTTACCCATAACCTTTTAAAAGCCAATCCCCCCTGATTCCATGGCAACTAGTGATGATACAGGCTGTCAGCCCCACCTTTCCTCTGCACTCCATCAACATCAGAGTGCCCGCAGCACACGCACACCAAAACAGATGGGAACGTCACGCTTAAATCTGCTCCAGCACACTGCCGTACTGTAAATATAAACACAGACCTGCAAATATACTTTCTAGTATCTGCAGGTTTGCCAGTGTTATGTAAGAAGTCCATAGAACTTGATAGTTCCCACAGTATAGCCGCCGTCCGCCGATAAAATTATTTGAAGAAGTTGGTGCTCACTAAGCCGTGCATTTCCTTTAAAGCTACACTGTGTGATTTTTACCCCCATCTAGTGGTGAAAAGGTATATGAGCATCCAGTGAATATTAGTTTGTGTTCCTCTCAATCGCGATTTCGTTTTAACTCCTACGGTGGCCAATGTAGTCCAAGATTAACATGGCTTCCAGTTCGACCTCATCCATAAGTGTTAACTGAAACGTAAACACGGAAGGCAAAGCTTGAATTAACGGGTATGTCCCTCTTTGGCTAATGAACTTTGGCTAATGAACCCCTTACCCGTATGTATTTTCAATGGCATATACACTCACGAGAATACTTTATTACTTGAAGGAAGTAAATGTACATTAATGAGCACATATGTTTTTGAAAGAACTAAGTGTTTTTAGCTAAGAATAAACTAAAAGAGTTACACAGTGTAGCTTTAAAGAGTCCAGGTTGACTGTGGTGGAGTTAGAGTGAACCACGCATGACAGCACAAAGCAGGGGCTGCCCGGCCATAGATGCAATTCAGCCTAGACTCAACTTTGTCTGGTCTCCCTCCGTTCATTATTTTCATTTACCGGTGCAGCACCGAGCACAATTTCCAGAGTGCTGCTCTCGAAATCAGATTTTCAGCACTGAGCTGTCCATCATAACTTTACTCCTCCATCTCATTTCCTTTCTTCCGTATCTACACATCTATCCATCCCACATCACTCTTCCATATCAGTCAGTTTGTGCTTCTCATCAGGCACCATCTGGTGCCACAACCAGGTGATGTCACATCCTCTCCACCACATGCAATGCTATTTTGATCACAAGACTGTTAATGAATGCAAAGTCTTTAGCACCTTTCCCAGGGGCAAATAATCCCATCTCACTGGGTTTATTGGGAACCAAAGCCCAGTTCATTCATAATTAATTTCAGGTTATGAAATATTAATGTAGGACTTGATGGCCTTAGTGATGATGTAACCACCCCAGATTTGCCCAAGGAGCTTATTGAGGCACATTTTGTATTCTTGAAGTGACCGCCCTGTATGCTTGAATCAGTGTATGAGTTTTCCTATATTTTGAAATCAATGAATCACATTTGTTTTTATGTTTTTTTTTTCGTTAGTATATGTCAGCCAAAAACAATTAAAGCTATTTTCTGTCATTTCATTTTCCTCCGTTGCTTTAAATTGCTTGCTTTATTGCTCTGTCTAAAATGCTCGATTGCGTTTTGAACATCTCAAACACAATCAATTCTTTACTTTCAGTGCTTTACATTATTTAATGGTTTGATCATATTATTTTAGTTGAATAGAGTTGAATTGGATGGCCATTTACAGTATATAAACAACAGTAGATGGTTTTCCAATGGCCTCCTCATTGGTTATGCATTAGACGTTATCAAGGTTTCATTACACCACTCCAGTGAAGCAATGCACAACAAAATCAATTTCTTCGTTCATGGTGACTTCATCAATATGAATTCATGAATAGAAAAACAGGTAGAACCATCTACTTAAAAATCAAACCGTGCTTGCTGACCTGATGTTTATTCACGACTTCTCGTTTAAATTCGGACTATTTATGCAGCGCAGTGCCAAAATGAACATTGAGTACGTTTCTGAGTTCTGAATGTCACAGTCTGCACATTTAAAGGATGTGATTTTCACTGACAAACTGGTAACATAACTCAAAAAAACTGGTACATAACAAATTCATCAGGTAATTAAAGCCACTTTTTGTTATTTGCTACTGTCTTCATAATATCGTTCAGTTAAAGGAGTAATTCACTTTAAAAAAAAAAAAAACTTTTGCTAATAATTTAGTCACCCCCATGTCATCCAAGATGTCCATGTCTTTCTTTCTTCAGTCGAAAAGAAATTAAGGTTTTTGATGAAAACATTCCAGGATTTTTCTCCATATAATGAACTTTAATGGGAACCAAACTGTTCAAGGTCCAAAAGACAGTTTCAGTGCAAACTGCAAACTGTTCAAAGGGCTTTAAACGATTCCAGACAAGATAAGACCCTTTGCTTGATAAGACCCTTATTCATCATCTGGAATCGTTTAAAGCCCTTTGAACAGTTTGCACTGAAACTGTCTTTTGGACCTTGAACCGTTTGGTTCCCATTAAAGTCCATTATATGGAGAAAAATCCTGGAATGTTTTCATCAAAAACCTTAATTTCTTTTCGACTGAAGAAAGAAAGACGTGGACATCTTGGATGACATGGGGATGAGTAAATTATCAGCAAATGTTTTTTTAAAAAGTGAACTACTCCTTTAATATTACTAATAACTTCAGCCTAGTATGTCAAACTAATTTTAAATAAATTAAGTTATTATAAATGCAAATAATATACAGTCAGAATAATATAATATACTTTTTGATGCACTTTTTGTACCATATGTTTAAAACTAAGGTTATTGATCATTTTAACATTATTCATGTCTGCAATGGGATATGGTCACATTCGAGGTATAAACAAAATACTAAGAGCTTTTTTAGCTTAAAAATGTTTAGCTTACCTCAATGGCATCCAAGATGTAGGTGTCTTTGTTTCCGCAGTAGTTTCAATTTTGATATTTTAAGGTCAAACCGTTCGTGTCTATCAGTCATATAATGGAGGTCTATGGTCACCACCTCAAAGAGCATCCACAGAGAAGTCCAAATTAAACATGATTTAATGACTCGTAAATGTAAGTACACATTGATAGCCTAAGACACGAAATGAGCACTTTGTGTGAGAAAACGAACAGTATTAATATTGTTTTTATCTCAGCCATGATTCTCTGTGCATGCTCATTGAGGTGGTGACCATAGACCTCCATTATATGACTGATAGACACAAACGGTTTGACCTTAAAATATCAAAATTGAAACTACTGCGGAAACAAAGACACCTACATCTTGGATGCCCTTGAAGTAACCAAAAAGTGTAAAGCGCTATATAAATGTAACAAATTATTATTATTATTATCAAACGTCATGAGTGCTCTGAACATACAAAACATTTTATTCAGTGCAGCTTCTTAAATGTACAACATATAATAAACGTAGCAGTAGCAGGATAAAATGCACTTATATACATTTGTATTTTACTCCAGTATCCATTAGAGCACATGGTTCCATATTGTAGTTAATATACAGCTACACAACATGCAGCGTCCATTGTCCCCCATGCATTAAATATGCTTCACACACACACACATACATATCACAGAAGAGGATTTTGATCAAAATTATAACCAGGGGCTGCTGCCTGACCACTGAAGACGAGAAAGAATAACTATAGGAACGAAATTTCATACACAAGTTGTTTCCTTATGCTGATTTAGCCCTGTTGGAGCAATGGAAGCTTCCTCTTGCTTGGTTTTCATGACATTTTTGTTGAGTGGAAAAAAGCCTGGCCTGTTTTTACGTAATCGTGTTAATCAATAATTTAAACATTTTCTGATTTGACACTTCTCCAAGATGCTGGGTTCCCAAATTAGAAGGGAAGTAAAGGAAGACATAAACCGATAAAAAAGCAGGGGACGCACAGCGAGTAGCCTTTATCTATCCTGAATACATTTCCTCTAAACTAAATGACACTCACTCCAGTGGAGGAAGCCGAAATTACACAGATTGACTTACTTCAATATAAAGAGACTAATGACATCTTTGGTGTGCAGACAGACCGAACCCTAAATCTGTTTATTTATTTGCGGAATAACAGTGTGTGTGTGGGGGGGGGTGGGCTGATAAGATAAGACAAAGAGAAGAGAGGAGCAAACCGGCTTGTCTACAAAGCACACAACAATGAACCGCTGCCTCAAAAAAGCTGAGCTGAAATACTTGCATCATATGTCCAAAACCTTTGGGATTTCTGCCTCTATATACCGATAAATGGGTCGCACAAGCTGCTATTGTCATATTGCAGTTGACTCCGCTCTATGGAGTTGGCATCCCTAAGACGAAATGGAGCAAAACACAAGAGTAGGTGTTCTAGAAGATTCTGTGACAATGTCACGGGGGAGAACCACAGCTCTTTATGCTACACACGGAAACGGGGATCGACCGCAAATGACCCCTACATCAGTAAAATGGCTTGATTTGTTTGTCTCAGGAGGTTGACCTGCAGAAGATTGTACAATGTAGGTTTGCACTTCAGTTCTCATCACAGTGATTTCAGGAAACACTAGCTAGCGACCAGCTAAGGGTTTCACCGCACTCTTGTAAACACGTTTGTGCTGTTTAGTTGACGGTAGAGTCCAGCAGCCGTACAGCAGCAGGTTATGTCGACTCGTTCTGGCTCAGAGTCTTGCCGCCGTTGAGCATGGCCGAGGCGCTGCGGCTCTTCGTCGGAGTGCCACTTCCGGAGCGGGAGAACTCGGTCAGTTCGTGGAGCGATGGCTCTCTGTACATAGCAACTATAATGGGGAGAGACACAAGCAAAGGGCCTCGTGAATCTCATGTTCAGGTTCCAGCAAGCTTGTCTCTTTATTAGTAAATCAATACCTTCTATTAGTGTCTACACAAGGGATGGGAATCACAAGAAATTTAATGATTCGGAATCCTTAAGGGCTCCTTTACTAATTCTTTTGAAGAAATGTTTGGAAAACAGATTATTTCAATAATAAAATAAAAAACAACAAAGAAAAAAAGGGGACATACTTCATACCTCTTTATATAATAAAATAATATAAAAACTGCTGATTCACAATTGTTTGCAGTCTGTATGTTCCGCGCTGAACAGCAATGTAACATTGAACACTTTCATGAGTATTTCCTGCCCCATCTCTGATATTTGCATAAGTTTGTCGCATTTTTGGCAGTCGCACGTAACTTTTCAAACTGGCTCCTCTACGGTAAAATGATTGAATGTACCAATATATCCACACAAAACAACTGACCGTCAATATTTTTGAAAGAAAAATGTAAAGACTTTTCTAGCAATGTTAAGAATTATTTAATGACTATAAAATGATTCTTTTTGACATAATTATTGATACACATTATTCTTAACCGCTCATTTAAAAGAAATAGTGTTTTAAAGAAATACGTTTTAGTGAAGAAATATTGGTAATTCTCATTTGTGCTCATAGTTTTGATTAGAATTAGAATACTGATTGGGCGGTCACATACGGTCTAGCCGTAAAAGTTCAAATATTTCAACAAGATCAAAACAGAACTTAAAATTCCACATACCCATATATGATCGGAAACCCACTTAGCTCCCATATTATACTCTATATTAGAAATGAATGACTTCCGGTCTGTTTGTCGGAATGGAAAATCCGTAACGCTTCCTTTTACAGTACAGTACTTACAGTGTACTTACCTAGAAAGTACTGGCTAAGATAAGGTAAGTACATGAAACAGGGGTAGGTTCAGGGTTAGTACTAGTTATTATCCAGTAATTGTAGTTACTAAAATAAGTGCGTAGTATTTACATGGGTAACTGGACTGTAAAAGGAAGCGTTACCGGAAAATCATCATTTGACAAGTTTTAGGTAAGTACCCTACTGCAGTAAAAGAATAATTTTGGCCTGCACCTTGTTCTAATATAACGTAACTTTGTTTTAAATCCAATTGCATGGAGCACCTGTGCTCATTTCAAGTAGATTAATGTCTAGTCATCTTAGCTTGAATTATGACAGTGCACAAGCAGCTGCAGGTTTTGATTTCCCCTCAGATTTAGCCAGTTCTAAGAAAGAAAGGCACCATTTTAATTTAGGGAGGAAAAATGATTTCATCAAGGGGTCTAATAAGGTGTGACTATACTTAACTATGCCTTCTTTTATGGTCTGTTTATGGTCGGTGATGTTTTAAGAATTAGGGATTGATATTAAGATTCTAGTTAATGCAGTAATTATTTTCTCATTTTGGCCAATAACCAATAGTTAATATGAACATTTTATTGTATTTTGTCTAAGAGAATAAAACATTAAAAACTAAAACCTACCAAGAATTTAGGAATCACAACATTGTAATGTTCAGTCAATAGAGATTACACAATATTATGTAAGATTAGGATTATCTGAATCAAGGTTTAAGCCTAGTCCCAGACTAAACTGTTTGAGCTGTTTTAACTGAAAGCTACTTGTACTTGCGTATCTTAAAATATGTCAGTGCCATTGTTTTGTCTGAAGATGCTCACCAATAATGTTTTTTTTTCCTAAGGAACATTTTTAAAAGCTACTTAAATGTCCTTATTGAACTAAGGCCTAATTCTTCTTTGGCTAAGCCACGCCCTAGAATGTAGATTGACCAATCACAGTGCAGCCAAGAACGAGCTCCCACAGAGGTCTGACACTTTTTCACAGCGCTCCATTGACTTTCAACACAAGCGTCTCATATTTTTGGTCTCGTCGTAGTTTTATCAAAAATATGGTTAAACGTTGTGCCTGGGGCATTTGTAACACAGATGCACGTTTCCCAGAGAGGTTGGAGGGGGGTGTCCGTTTTTCCCCTTCCCAAAACCGAAGTCAAATCCTGGCAAGTGTTGTCTTTGGATGAAACTGTGTAAATGTCCTCAGTCAGCTAAACCCCTCAAAGGTCAACAAGCACATCTTTTTTGCTTCTAACCTTACGGTGAAGTTATACTAGTTAGACCGTTTTATAATGTTTTAGGTTATGATTTCGGTTCTCATACCGGTTGTTGATACGCTAGCACATGCTGCTAATAAATACAACGTTATACTCGTGTAATCTGTTTGCTTTGTAATAACGATTATAGAAGTGAATAGAGACCTATCCAGCTTGTCATAAACAGTGTTGCTCCCTGATATTGTCAGTCTGCGTTTCACCTGTTGAATATAGCCTTCGAACACATATTGCAGTCCCTTTTGCCTACTTCTATCGGACACTTTATTTGCTGCTTTATAAAAGTTTGATAACATTTGAGCATGAAGAGCTGTCACAGCATAAGCCATGTTGATACCAAACCAGAGCCCAGATGAAGTTTGACGGATATTGCAACAGTAACTAAGGGGGGCGGGCTTAGCCAAAGGTCAATTCTGTCTTAGTCTAAGGCTAAACTCTGTCTGTGAAACCAGCCCATAATGTTTTTAAAGATTAACTTTAAGTCCAGACTGATCTCATGAAATGGCGTATGTATGACACGCCAATTCGTATTTCCATTTTTGGCACGCTATCAACACGCATAATCTCTTTTCAGCTTGTTTATGACATTACATTACTGTCTATATAAATAAATATATGACCTACCCCAACCCCGTCCCTAAACCTACCCGTCACTGGGGTTTATGAGTCTGCCCCTACCATCCTAGGAAAAAAATATCGCTCCCCAGATGTAGATCTACATTTTGCTTCGTTTCGCTCGGACATTTAACGGCGTGTACATACACGCAAAAGATGACGGTTTGTTTCGGCGTGGACATACACGCATACAAGCGGATAGCTCAAAATGTGTATAGATGACACGCCACTTGACTTGAAAGTGGCGTGTATGTTTACGCAAAGTCATGATGCCATGTTGTTAAAGGGATACTCCACTTTTTACTCCAGTTAAACAGTTGAGTTTCACCGTTTTCGAATCCATTCAGCCGATTTTCTGATATTTAGAAGAATATCAGTAACCAGACAGTTTCTGGTCTCATTGACTTATAGTAGGAAAAACATATACTATGGAAGTCAATAAGACCAGAAACTATCGGTTTACTGGTATTCTTCTAAATATCAGAAAATCGGCTGAATACATCCGAAAACGGTAAAACCCAACTGTTTAACTCTGGGGGAGTGGTAAAATGAGCCTATCTCCAAAAAAAAGTGGAGTATCCCTTTAAGTCAGAGTCCAATAAAATGTCTGATAAAACATATGGTAACAATCCTGCACCCTAAACAGAATTTGCTGAGCAAGTTAAAGTTAGTTAAACTGTCAACATGTTTACATGGACATCCCTTATGCACACCAAGGTTATGCCTTATAATTTAGAGACAAGCATGCTCTTCCAGATGCATTTTCATCTTTTCATAAATCAATAACACCAAATAACTGCAGATACGACCTGAAAGCCAACAACCTACTTGAATGCTTGTGCTACAATCAGCCAATTTATCCTCAATCTAAAGAAGATATTTTTAGAAAGCTATCAGCCTGGATTAAACGCTTAAACAAACCTTTGAGAGGTTTGGGGATGAAGTGTGCAGCCGGCTTGGTCTTCTTTACATGGTTGCCCTTCATGACTTGACCCTCTTTGTTGAGACCCAGGTACCAGCCTCGGCCCGACTGCTGCTGCCGATAGATCATTGACGAGTAGGTCACGTAATAGTTCTCAAACACTGACTCTTTGAATTTGCACTCAGGCGTGAAGTGCTCCTGTGAGAGTAAAACAGGCAGAGAAGACAGAGAGAATTATTCTTCCATGTTTGTGGAGGAGTATTTGCATAAGAGAGAGGAAAAGAAAATGTGTGTGCGAGGGACAAATTTGAGCTGAAGATGGTCCAGACCAGCCTCCATCAATATCCACGCGACGACACCTCATCATGATTTGTCTTTAAACCTGGAGGTAAATTCCACTGATTGGAACTGTAATAAGTGGTCTAAACATGGTAGCACGCCGCCCCGTCCAGTTTGTGGTTCGGATTGATTACCGTTAGACTCCTGAGGCCCGAAACAATTTGACTCATTCCTGAGGATCAATACATTCATCCAGGGGAAAACAACCACTCAAAATCAACAAGGAGATACGTGTACACCGGCACGACCATAGGTGCGAGTTTGAGTTATTCCTGTGGGCAGTCAGGCGTGAACCCGCAAAGCCAAGGTACAGAGTAAACTGTTCCTGCGTTATGAAAGCACAGACCTGGCCACTTCAAATGCCAGCAATGTTGCTCAAAGTGTCCATTTTGAATTGACATTTTGAATTCACTTATTGGCACGGCACTAAATTATTCATGTCGCCACAGCACATTTAATCAAAGGAGGGAGGCAGTCGCAAAACAGAATATCCATTAGAGCATAATATTTAAAAACTCGAAAACTGTAGAAAACCTCGGGTATGATGATGCATCATCTCCCGAGAGCGTTCTATTCATAGTCCAAATACAAAGCAATTATTCGAAGTGTGAATTATCTTTGTGAGGTTGCGAGGTGCTAACAAGAACGTCTAAATATGCCATCATCTCTTCTTTGAATATGAAGATCACGATACACTGCTGCGATAAATAAGAGGGGCAGATGGTGTTTGGGCAGGAGTTGGATCTCATTATCTCTTCAGTCTATCGATCGCCCGCTGTCTGGAATCCAACCTGCAACCTTTAAGTTAACAGCTCGGATCCTCAGGCATCCATGATGCTGTCAAAGACATAGATTTAACTCCGATGAGAGCGGCAGAGACGAAATGTGGGATGTTTACGACTGCCCTGAACTCAGAAGAGCCCACAATGTGTAGGAGGGACTCACAAAGATGCAGTTTTCATGCAGAGTTCATCCTACTTACAGAGGTGTACAGGTAGCCCTCGTTGTTCATGGCCAGGTAGAGCTTGGTCTGAACGCCCTGTATAGCCACCACCCGCAGCCCAACAGGGATGAGGTTGAAAATAGCTGTGAAGTTACAGTACAACAAAACAGAATTGAACCCATGGGAAAGAAGTGTGTAGGCTCGGTCGTGTTTGAACGTGTTTCATGTAGCGAACAGACCATAGCTATTATCTTCCTCCTTTGTACCATTGATGGTCCCATCAGCTTGGAGTTGTAGATGAAAGCCTTGTCGACTGTAGAGCTTGGTGACTATCCCCTTGAGCTGAGGCTCTGTAAAATTGACATAACACATATTAGGAGAAAGGGGGGAAAGGAAGGGCATGCAACAGCACATTATATGAGGTGAAGAAGAAGAAGAAGAAGAGCATCTAACACAAAGGCACAGCTTGGGCAAGCCAAGGAAACCATCAAATGTGAATTGTGAAAACATAGTGAGTGCTGGTGCCAACAGGACCCAGTGATTTGCCAAGCATGCCTTAGTGTTTAGGAGATAGATGACTGTGACTTATATAACATGCATTTCTGTAGGCTATCTCTGAATTTATGAGTTCCAAACCTTTATTTCCTCATTGTATACAAGAGAAAATGCAACAAAAAAGAGCAGCGAGAGCACATCACGTTAATGTTTACCGATTCTGTGCTATTGATATTTGATGATGTAAAATAATAAATTGTTTTAGTCATCCATTAAAATTCCCATCTCCACAAGCAGAGGTATATTTCTTCATGATCTGACCAATAGTACACTGTGAAAATGAATATGCTTTATCTAATCAATAAAATTGTGGCAACAGATTACAAGTAATATTATTAATTAAATTGAACAAATTGAGTAATAATTAATCAAATTATCCCTTAAAAGTTAACCATTTAAAATGAGTAAAGTTTACACCAAAAAATTCAACAAAAATTAATTATTTTATATTATCTTTATTTTATATTGCCAACATTGAAGACATCTGATGTTATCAAGCAGAATCACTGAAGGAGAAAACCGTCATTTTAAAACAAACCTAAAACAAACACTGATCACCATAATGATGACTTAAACATACTTTTTTTGTACGATTTACTCATTTTAAATGGTTAGATTTAAAGGAATTAATTTGATTAATTATTACTCAATTCTATTCTTAAATTTAATTAATAATATTGCCAGTAATCTGCCACAATTTTTTTGATTAGATAAAGTGCATTAATTTTTACAGTGAGTTCAGTCATATTAAATCATATGTGTTACTATTTATTAGTTTGTTATTTATGTTCCTATTATTAACATTAATTTGCATTTCTAATTTTAGCTTGTAATTGGTTGTATTTTCAATGCTTTGAGCATGAATATCTCAACAGAATATATCATTTTAAAAGGTTTTTTTGTTGTTGATACACTCTAAAAAATGCTGGGTTGTTTGAACCCAATTTTGGGTAAAATATGGACAAACCCAGCCATTGGGTTAAAAATGTAATTTAAAAATGTAACCCAATGGCTGGGTTTGTCCATATTTTACCCAAAATTGGGTTCAAACAACCCAGCATTTTTTAGAGTGTAATTTGCACGTTATCTGATGAAGCACATATTCTGTGACCCAACAAAAACCTCAACCTAGCAACCAAAAACTCACTATATTAATTCATAAACAACCGAATATAGTAAAAGACCAGCCAGTGATCATATCATCAGCATATTTACAACAAATGGCCATTATCAGCAATAACAATCTATCAAATAAAAAGTCAGCACAACCCAGAGTGCCACAGATCTCTGTTTATTTGATCCAGACTGCATGATATAGTGAGAACAAGTGAGGAGCTGTGTGACCTGGTGATATTGCAACATCAGCTCTAGCTCAGAGAGAAGCCAGTGTTCAAAAGCAGTGGACTGTGAAATCCTTGTCTTGTTACTCTGCGCAGCGGATCTTAGTGCATAAGCAGTTAAATATAGAGCAGTAGTGTATTAATGAGGATGATGATGACGATGATTGATGGACATGGCTATCTGGGTAAAGTCTGGTAAAAAGAACACACATAACATCAGACCTGGCCGTCTTCTCTTGCGTTTCTTCGAGCCGAAGAGTTTGACGCGTGAGAATAAGTTGAGCCTGCTGGGCTTCTCGCAGTTCCCTATGCTCTTGTTGGGGCTGCTGGCGCATCGGTTGGCATTGGCTTTCTCCCGCTCCCTCGCTTGCCTCTTCTGCCGAATGAGGGAGCTGGCGATCGCTGCGGCTGTAGCCAGTTTGGCGTTTTGTTGTAGCGACGCGTCCCAGATTAAAAATGACCATATGTTGTGTATATTAAAGTCCTGTGTGCTCAGAACATTGTCACTGAGGAGGAAAAATCAATACTCCATGACGGACTGCGTAACGGTCATTTCAGAAGAAAGAGCATTTTTTTTTGTTTGTTTCATTGACAAATCACTTGGTTTGAAGCCTTTCCAGTCGCTTCATTCAGCGTCGGCTGTTGTGCCCTGCCATGGTGCAGCAGATCCCGGACAGCAGCAGCTCCTCTTCTTCTCTTCGGGGAAAAAAGCTGTCTTCTAGAAAATGTTGCCTTTTTGTTGCGCGTTTGTCTGAGAGAGAAACGCGTGCCATTGTGCCATATCCAAAGCTTTACCAAGCCATGCGCTGATTCAGAAAAACGGGCACCTGTTAACACACCGCGTCTGAGGAAATAATTAAATAGTGTCTTTATGCGAGAACGAGGAGGTGGGTGGGGGATTGTGCTGGAAAATTATGAGCAAGAGGTCCCCGCCTTTCAATAATGCAGCTTTTAATTGAAGTTGAGTAGATTAATCGTCTTCCCCTGCAGATGCGCTCTCGTTTTCAGCAGTGGAGATCTGCATAGGTACTCAACAGATTCCCCGTCCCCGTTCCCCCAAGACCGCCCAAAATATGGAAATTCAAAGGCGTAGGAAACGGCACATAAACTCTGGTGTCAGCAATATGATCCATGAAAGAAAAATATCCACATCCACTATTGCAGAGATTTCAGACTGCTCTCTTTTCGACAGTGGGTTGTATTGCAGCAGCAGCAGCAGCAGCAGCTCGTTCTCCTGCAGCAGCACGGCCCCAGAGACGTGACTGTGGTCTTCAATAAGCAGCTGTGTATAATCAGGTAACATTAGAGCCTCTTGAGGCTCCTGAAATGAGGAGTGGCCTTTGTGCCACATATAATCCAACTCTATAATAGTTTTTTTTTTTATGTATATCATTTTTTGTTTTGTTCTGTACAATTATACACTCAATTTATTGGCACTGATGGTTCAATAAAGAACCTTAAACATGTGCCATGAACCTTTCCATTGCAAAAAAAAAAAAAGGTTCTTTATAAGGAAAAAAAGTTCTTTAGATTATTAAAATGTCCTTTACAGAAAAACAATTCTTCTTTTAAGAACTGCTCACTGAAAGTTTCATGAGGGGAAGCAAAAATGGTTCTTTTATGGCATTGCTGCGAATGGAACCTTTATTTTAAAGAGTGTAAAAAAAAAACTGTGGTTGCTAGAAAAATACAACCGTATTACAAAAAAAATTACCCTTAAAAGCATTTTTGAAGCATTACAATGACAAGTTACTGTAAAAATGAATGTGCTTTATCTAATCAAAAAAATTGTGGCAACAGATTACAAGCAATATTATGAATTCAATTTAACAATATAGAATTGAGTAATAATTAATCAAATTAATTGCTTAAAAGTTTAAAATGAGTAAAACGTACCATTTAAAATGAGTAAAACGTACCCCCCCCCCCCAAAAAAAAAAAAAAAAACCAACAACGTACATTTAAGTCACCATTATGGTGATCATTGTTTTTAACTTTTAAGTAATAATTTGATTAATTATTACTCAATTCTAATTTGTTCAATTTAATTAATAATATTGCTTGTAATCTGTTGCCACAATTTTATTGATTAGATAATGCATATTCATTTGTACAGTGTAAATTTGTACAGTGTGGTTTTCAGATATGTTTTTTACTGCAAACTACACTGTCAAGGCCACATAACGACTAAAAATTAATCAAAATTGGCCTCTGCAGCAACTAATAATAACATACACCATCAGTGTGACACACAAGTCACTAAAATAATGCAGTAAAACAATTTTTTAATAATAAACAAAAGATTGTTCTAACCAGGAATTCTGGGAAAGCATCTTTTCTCATTAATTAAAGGTGATTCTTATTATTCATAAAAAAAAACTATTTCACTAATATGTAACTAAATGCATGTTTTTTTTTCTTATGAAAAAAAAAATTCATATGTTGTACACTCTAAACAATGCTGGGTTGTTTTAATCCAAATTTGGGTCGAATATGGACAAACCCAAATGTTGGGTTAAAAATGTAATTTAAAATTTTAACCCAACTTCAACTTTCACTTTTAACTGTAATTTTTTTTTATGACTTTTTAACCCAACATTTGGGTTTGTCCATATTTGACCCAAATTTGGGTTGAAACAACCCAGTATTTTTTAGAGTGTACTGTACTTATATATCAAATATCAACAAATCTTCAGCAATTTCACATGAATTATCTTACACAGGCATATATATAATATTACATAAAATAATCTTACTGTAAGGTAAAGTTAAATAAGGTTAAATGATAGGTTATATAATATTTATATATATATATATATATATATATATATAATATATATATATTATATTTATATATAATATATATATAATATTTCCCTGAAGATGATGTTTCCGCATCAAGCACATTTACCTAACAAAACATTTACACAGTGTATAGGATAGATGGTGCCAACAACATTAAAGAACAGCAGAACAATACATTATTTTCCATAGCGAATATACGAGTTTTCAAAACGGTTTGTTTTTTAAAACAGCAATCCTCTTTTGATTAAACAACTTGAAATCTCTTCCAAGCCACTTAGTTGAATTGGTGAATTTCAGCACCACGGACAGCACCAAAGACCCACGCCAAACAAATAAACCCATTCAACCACTCAAACATACCATGCATATAAATGTATATCTCATTCATTTGTCAAGCTCCTTTAAAGAAAGCCCCCTGACTGGATATCTTCAGATATCTAAAAGTATACCTGATACAGATCTTCTCAAGGGAAACGCCATCCTACTCTCAGAGGCATCCAGAGATGACTTTTATTCTTTTGCACATCTTCAGTGTTCAAAACAAGAAAAAGGGCGTTGCGAACTTTCAAATAATTCTCAAGAGTATTCTGTCCATTAAAAGTGCACAGCCCAGCGATCATAGCAGATCATTATCGCCTATTATTGACAGACCACTATGTGTTTAGGGCGCCTTATCAATGATTCATCAGATGCACTGGAGATAATGCCAACTCTAATATTCTCTTCAGGGTCATTCACAGCAAGAAGAGGTGGAGAGAAGAGAGTAATGCGAGCAAACACTCTCAAACCTTTGTGAATGAATCCTAATCACAAACCTGAGGACTTACTTAAATGTATATGCTCTATATATTCAGCTTAAAGTCAATAACAGAATGCAATATTGATTCCCAGGCAGCGTCATGAAAAATAATAGGTGGGCCAATGAATAAAACCCATTTGGGAACAAAGCGGAGCTTCTAAATATTAATCTTGGTAATAAACGTGTCAGAGATCTGGCTGGCTTTAGGGAGTTTAGGACCAGTCCAGAACAACAGAGCAAACCAACATATTCACAGAGAGTGAGAGAGAGAGACTAATGAAATATCAAGGTAATGAGGAAACAGGATTTTTTTTTTTCAAACAAGGGGAATCGAATTAGTCTGGCCTTCCTTCCTGTGGTGTGTTGGGCCAACATGTGACACAACCAAGCATATTTTCCTGCTCATCTAATGCGACTAATCTAATGTGAGTTTGAGATCATATCAAAGTCACTGTGATACACAAGTGTTTTATGTAATCCTATTATGTTTACGCAGCCTCTATAATACTCATGCACATCAAATCTCTGGTGATAGTGACTCCTATCTATTCTTGATGTCTTTACAGTTAAGGGACCCTGAGCTGGAGCACTTTTTTTCTACATTACATTTTCTGTGATGCTATTAACACAACACAAAGAAACAGTTGTTTCTCTATGTAGGAACTGAATTGAATTGGCAATAACATAGCTAAAAAGTCTCAATCAAATGTATTAGGGCTATTAGTAAGCTCATAGTTTATAGAACTTAAGCAGATCTTGTTATGATGAGAAAACAAAGTTGTAGTCATTGCATGGCACAAAGTCATCATACAAATCTCTATTTTTAATGACTGAATGTGCTTATGTTTTCAGAACCATCTCAGGCGAGAAGGCGAAAACAACCCCACCCCGATGAGGCTGATCTTTAAGTCACCACATGATGGCGCTAAAACATTTAAAATGGGCTGAGAGAGAACATTAGGCTCATTATCGCATCCAAGCGATCCTGAAGTGAACAATAAATCAGTGTGTAGGCTACATGCAGGAGTAACAATAACTTGTGCTGGCCTAGACGTGAAAACATTCCCTTACTATTCAGAGATAGAAAGTCCACCATAAAGCAGTTCATTCAAATTCATAACAGCACTTCGTGCACTGAACGTCTACAACGCATGCTATTTCCGGTGGGTTACGGTGTATTTTGGGGGGTTTGGTTATCTTTCGTGAAATTAACTTTTAAGGTGCTAGGCAGGCAGAACCGATAAACCTCTCATCTCTACAAACCTTCACCGTTTTCTTTTTTCTTTAGAAAGAAGAGTTTCCAGAATGGACAGCAAAAGAGCTCCTGACATTTACTATGAAAGGGTGAGTTTTCTTTCTTATCTACTGCAAGAGACTGAGTTGACTCCGTCCGCAACAGAATGTACTCCTTGCCATCTTGAATTGTGTATACTTCAACATAGTGACAGAACAACAAGAATTAGAAAAAAAAATCTGGTAGGACAAACACTCACACAGCCCGAAAGAGACCAATAAAGTTAGAAAAGATGATAGGCAGGCTACTGCCATCTGGTGGTATTGGTAAAGCCTTGTATTTAGTGATAACTACACTATCCTCTTCACTAATGTGGAGGTATAATGTAGCCTGGGACAATTTCTGCAAATTTAGATTTGCTAAGCAAGTTAGTCTGGCAAAGAGAAACCAATCAGAAACGTTGGGGCGGAATTTATCACGATGACGACCGCAAACATGTTATTAAAATATTTTTTTTTTATCATAGAGAATGTTTAAACATTCATATCAGCTTACGAGGTAAACAGAGGCGGAGTTAGTGGTGCTTCGGAGGCTGCTACTGCTGAAGATGATTATGGAGAGGTCTGTGCACCCCCTCACAAAAAAGAGAAATCTTGGAGATCTGCTTAATAAACACAGGTCTGAAATCTCTGCCCTTTACCGATTAGAGCACGAGCTGACACGGAGTAAAGCCTTGTTTACACTCGAGACGTCCGCACGAGCGTAAAGGTGCGCTCTGCAAAAATGACGCGTTCGGTGCGCAAGACTGGCAAGACCACATTTCGCTTGGCTGTATGCACGGCTTTTTTTGTAACCGCGCGCGCGGCGCCGCGTCCGAGAATGTACGTCTCAGCTTCATCAACTGTGTCTTTTACCTCACGCAAACATGCACTGAAAATTTCAAAAACGTTTAACCATTTATGTTCAGTTAGACAATGATGGAGGGACCCAAGAAGTGACAACATGTAGAATGCAACAGGATATTTTTGAATGCTTAGTTGATGAATTTTATATAGATGATGTGGAGTTAACTATATTCTAGTTATTTATTAGCATTTTCTGCCATGACAATGTTCCAGGGTTGGTTCATGTAAATTCTAGGGTTGGTGATGTCACTAACCCAGGAGGAATGTTGTGTAGGCCCTACAGCCATTTGTTGTAGCAGCCTATTAAAAAAAAACCTTTGCTTTGAAATTTAAGCATTGTTACTTTGCATATGTTGTTTATGCTCAAACAGTAACATTACACACAAACTAAAGTTAGAAAAGTGAAATCATAATCAACCACCCATTTAAACTATTAACTGAAACATTTGTGTTCAATAATTACAAAGCTGAACACATCACAGTATTAAGACATTTGTCAAAATTGTATTCATGCAATTACGCATACACATACAAATTTGACATAATAGCCTACAATATTGTTTTCTACGATACCAACTGCAAAAACAAAGGGGGAAAGACAATTTTTTTTTAAAATTGTCCAACATAATGTATTTTCTAGCCTGCCTGTATTTACATTTTAGAAAAATATGTTTTTTTATTATTTGTTTACACATATGTGGTCGATTTATATATAGTAGATCCCATATGATGAATTCTTGTCACTGACACTTTTATGAGGTTTAATCGCTGAGGCTTCAACAAAGAAAATCAATGTTGTTAGTTTTAACACAGAATATGATATAGGTTAACATTAGTTAATGGATTGACTAACATTAAATAATAATGAGTAATCCATTTGTAACTGTATTTATTAATCTTTGATAACAATAATTAATGGCAATAAAACTGTTCATTGTTTGTTCCTATATGCTCAGGTCCATTAATAATAATAATAATAAATATAGCTGCGAGCAGCGATGGCGGGCCCAAGCCGGTGGCACCGCAACCCCGGTTCCTTTAGTTACCTAAATGCACCCGGGTGGCGGTGCCGAAGGCTTTGGCCCTTTTATGATTAAATGTTAAAACGGCTTGCCATACTCTGTCATTTCGACTAGTCACAATTATGTTACAGATATCTTAAATTATAATACAAACTATCCAAAATGTAATTACGAATAGACAGAAAGACGTTGTTGATATCTACAATGTTAATTCCGGACAGGCAAACTTAGCTTTTAAATGTTAAAAGGGCTTGCCATACAGGGACGTAGGCTCAGAGAGAGGCTCACCATATTCAAACCCAAAATATCTGACTTCCTCTTGGTCCGAGCTAATGACTATGTATTAGAAAGTTGTCCGGCTTGAGGAGTACAATGTATATAGCGATTTTTGTAACTGTAGATAAAACTAACAACCCCACTTTTGTCAAAAGGTGGCGCTATTTAGTCCTTGCACTATGCCCGTTTCTGAAACTTTGCACATGTCTACTGGCTAATAAATGTGATGTATCTGTTGAGTTTCAAGCAATTTCAATTTCAATTTCAATTTGACTGTTGAAAAGAAGTGCGCCGATTAGATACTCAGGATCGGTATCGGCTCTGACACTGCCATCTTTGACGAGGCTGATTCAAATTCTATATTGTGCATATATACTATCTATGTTAGGCACAAAGGCACAAAACTTTCTAAAGTACCATAAAGTTTTTGTGTACTGTATTATTAGTGTTCTGAAGCTATTATGTGATATAGAAATTAATATTTAAGTCATTAAATTCAAGAACACAAACTTTTCCCTCTCTGCGCCTGTCAGTCATTCTCCATTCAGCATTCAAAACAGCACGTCACATTCGGTTACAGTCAATGACGAAACGATCTTCAAGATGATTGAATGTTAATCCTATTATACTGGATCTTTAAGATAAAGGTCTAAAGGTCTATATTTCGAATGAAGAAACTTTTTCTTGCTGGACTGTAACTTAACCGTGTTACTTTCTACCGGGTGTCGGACGCTGTCGGTTAGATCACAACACTAGAGTCAGAGCACTATAATTGTTCTTCACGCACACAGTAACTAAAATTTAAAACCTTTAAAAGAAAAGGCTCAATAAACTATTGCATAGATAGTAATGTATAATACACTGTTCATAAATATGTATTTCCTTTGTGCTTTGAACTTTTCAATACGGATTCACTGCGCTGTAACTTCATGTGGCTTCAAGCACATCATTCTCCGCTCGGGATGCACATAAGTGCTTTGTGCTGCACCGTATTAGAGCCGTAATATCATAATGCAGTGACGTAATGACAGATTATTAATTGCCTTTCAATTATATGTTGCTGCGTCATTAAACATCTGTCCTATGCATTTCAAACATTTATAGCAGCCATGGCTATATTTTTTATGATTTTTGTTATCTTGTTTTTCATGAATGTATTTTTCAAAAATAAGAGCAATGTGTATTATCTATTATTAATATGGTTTATAATAGCATTTTTGTCATAGATTATGACAAAGTAATCATATGATCCACCAGCGAGGAACCAGCAGAACAGAGTGAACATTCTTTCTGTTTAGTTCAATCCTACTTAATAGGAATTTATTTAAAATGCTCGCTCTACTCCACACCATTAATGTCTTGTGCGGATATCCGTATTTCGACTTTCGATTTTAAGTAAGCGATTTAAAAGCTCCCAAGTCCCAGCGGAGTCACACGTTGATTAACCGGTGGGAATATACACAATAGGCCTACCTGATATTGAACACAAGAGGGCAGTATAGCACTACGTATGACTCAGATTATTATTTTTTTTATGAATTTTACAACAATTCTGGCTGTTTTTGAACGTAAACATAATTCTTAAATGAAAAAAGGAAAAATTGGGGAAGTTATAATATTTGTATAATTTAATTTAGAAACAAATGATGTATAATTACATTTTAGAAGATATGGGCTTTTAGTGTTTACTTTTTGACATTACTTTAATCTTTTGCCATAGTTGCACATGTCTACTGGCTAATAAATGTGATGTATCTGTTGAGTTTCAAGCAATTTCAAGCATGCTAAGAGTCCCAAAAGCATCAAAAAAAGAATGTTAAAGTTCGATTCGTTGCCACGGCAACAGTATAAAAGATATCAAAAATTCATTCACAGGTCTACATCTGCCGTGTATTTACATTATACAGATGAAGTTTGAAGCAAATCGGTTAAAAATAAGAGATTGGTTTCAAAGCATTTTGAAAGTGACACACTTCCTGCTGCCAGTTGGTGGCGCTATAATTTTGACTCACAATAGTCACATCCATGTGATCGGTCTCTTACAGCGAAAACACTGCTGAAGTTTCATCAAGATCAGTTAATGTATGCTGATGTTATCACACACATCCTGTTTCATGTTTCTCGCCATAATTTCGTTTCCTCGCCACGGCCAAACCGTTCGAGATATAAAAAATCCCTTGGCACCTTTTCATCCTTAATGTCTTGACTTCACGCTGATCGAGTTTTGTCGAATTTGGTTCAGTGCTCTAGGAGCAATACTTTAAATTCCATTGCATGTGTTTTAAACACAACCCTAAATAGCCGTCTTCCTGTTGGGCTGGGGTAAAAAGTAAGAGTGTGAAGTAGGCTATATATGAAACGATGAGATCTATATGTGTACCAAGTTTCATATTATTACATGCAAGTGTGTTTGATTTATGGACCAAATTTTCAGACCAAGTTTATTGACCAAGTTAATCTGATTAATAAACTAATTATATAAAACTATTGTCAATGCACTACAATTAAACTAGTTATATGTCTTTACTTATAAAAAATAAAAATAAAAATTATTTAAAAAATACCAGGCTTGAGAAATGTATTTTCTTTATGCAGGTCATACACACAGCAGTGAAATGGTTAAGCCCCCTCCCCCTGCACACACACACACACACACACACACACACACAGACAGCCAGCCAGCCAGCCAGCCAAAGACACAGAGACACAGAGTCATTGTAGGCTCAGAGTGACCATATTCAAACAAAAATATCTGAGTTTCTGTGGGTCCTAGCTAATAAGTGTAAATTAGAAAGTTGTCCGGCTCGAGGAGTACAATATACATACCAATTTTTGTAACTCTAGTTAAAACTAACAACCCCACTTCTGTCAAAAGGTGGCGCTACTGAGCCCTCACCACGCCCGTTTCTGAAACTTTGCACATGTCTACTGGCTAATAAATGTGATGTGTCTGTCGAGTTTCATGCATTTTGAAGCATGCTAAGGGTCTCAAAAGCATCCTAAAAGCA